TGAGCCACCCAGGCGCCCCAAGTGAATTAATATCTTAATATTTATATACACATAAACACATATATACACGAGAGCAATAAAGATTTGCCGTGTGTACAGTGTGTAGCACTGTCCCTGTGGGCCGGGGGTTATCAAGGCACAGAGAGATTAAGTAACTTGTTTAAGTTGGTACAGCTTTTATTTACTTATTTCTTTTAAGATTTAATTTATTTATTTGACAGAGAGAGAGCAGGAGAGCACAGACGGGGAGTGGGAGAGGGAGAAGCAGCAGGGAGCCTGATGGGGGCTCAATCCCAGGACGCTGGGATCATGACCTGAGCTGAAGGCAGATGCTTAACTGACTGAGTCACCCAGGCACCCTGGTACAGCTTTTAGATAGCAGAACTGTGATTCAAAGTCAGGCACTTTGGCACTTAGGGACTTTCCTCTTCAACCTCTAGAAAGCTGAAGTCATTGAAACTTTTTCTTCCAAAAGAAAATGTGTAAAAACATAAAGGAAAGCAACACAACAACAACAAAAAGGAAGGCAGGAAGAAAAGAAACAAAAAGAGCTTCCAGAGTATGTTATACGGTCATTCTCAGCATTGAATGTTACCCATATTGGGGATAAGAAGACAGCTTTTCTAGAGACTTACTAATCTACCGAAGAAAATAAGTCAGGGACCCTATGTAAGTGATAGGCAACTCATTTTTTCCTTCTAGAGAATAAACACCAAGTTTGTCATTCTTGTGCTTTTAATATAAGATCAAATTGTAATTTTGATTTGTTTTTTGATAGTCTTACATGTATGTTCAAATTTCTTTAGAATAGTTAAAAAGCTGCAGTTTAAAACTTAGCTCTGCTGCTTACTAATTGTTGAAACTTGGGTTCGATTTCCCTGAATTCTGTATTACTATTACCACATTGTTGTAATTATCAATATCCAGAAGCATCTTTTAAAAGATTTATTTGAGAGAGAGAAAGAGCGTGAGTGCGCACACGAGCATGTTGGGGGAGGGGCAGGGAAAGAGACTCTCCAGCAGACTCTGCACTGAGCACAGAGTTAGACATGAGCCAAAACCAAGAGTTAGACACTCAGCCAGCTGAGCCACCCAGGTGCCCACAGAAGCATTTTGTACACATAAATCACTTTGTTAATTTTTGCCTAATATCTTATAATTCATATTGAGTCATCAGTGTTTAATGTACATTCACCATATGTCACTATATTTTAGATGCTGAAGAAACTGCAGTGAAGTTAATGTGTCTAGTGTCTCAAAGCTTACATTGGGGTATATAGAATGTCAAAATGTTGAGTCTTGGAAAGATTTCATTTAAAACCATTTTAAAGGGTGAAATATTTTTCTGTTCACATTCATAATTCTTTTCATATTGGTAGCCAGAATAATTTTATGAAGGTGATGCAGTGATTGAGTTGTACTGTGTTTGATATTTCTTGGGAACATATAAAATATTGCAGGGAGATTCTCAAAGTATTTGAGGAGCTAGAAGTATTTTAGCCATCTGTTAAATCACATAGTGTAGTGAAAAAATAGCCTCAATATGATTAACTGTTAATTGCATTCATAAGAAATTAAACTAATGGCTTATTTATTTTTTCAGGTAAAGAGCATGGTGCATCATTTATATTTTAATGATAAGCTTGATGCACCAAGGAAAAGTCGTTTTCCAGAACGTTTCATGGATGACATTGCTGCTCTTGTCAGCACAATTGCTAGTGATATAGTTTCACGATTTCAGAAGGTAATGATAACTTTTTAAAAAATTAAATCTCTATCAAGCGCACATTATACAATCATACTTTTATATATTTTTGCTTTTTATTCTGCTTTCCAGGACACAGAAATGGTTGAGAGACTCAACACAAGCCTTGCATTCTTTCTCAATGATCTGTTGTCTGTTATGGATAGAGGATTTGTCTTTAGCCTTATTAAGACGTGCTATAAACAGGTAATGCATAATTAGTAATAATTAACAAATAATTTAAACACTGTGTTTGGTGTTTTTAGAGTTGTAGCTAAGAGATCTTCAAGAACACACTCATATACTGATGTTTTTAAAAAGCAGCATTTTTCTTTTTAAAAGGATTTATTTTCAGGAGGGGCAGAGGGAGAGGCTCTGAGAGAGAGAATCTCTGGGGCACCTGGGTGGCTTAGTCGGTTAAGCATCTGACTCTTGATTTCGGCTCAGGTCATGATCTCAGGGTCCTGGGATCGAGCCCCGTGTCAGACTCCCTGCTGAGCTGGGAGTCTGCTTGTCTCCCTTTCCCCCGGCCCTCCCCCTGCTCTCTCTCCCTCTCATTCTCTCTTAAATAAATAAATCTTTAAAAAAATAAATAAAAGCAGAGTATTTTTATTAGTAAGGCAAAAGTAAATTTCATTTGTTTTATGAGGACACAGTCCTATGGCAAGCTGCTATTTGTACAGCTGACTTTTCCTTTATTTTACTGGCCCAGTCAAACTCTTCGTTCCCATTCTGAAGCAGATCATCAAGTCACTAGTCTAAATGTTAAGCAGCCCTGGGGGTACCTGGGTGGCTCAGTTGGAAGAGCATGTGACTCTTGATTTCAGGTTTGTGAGTTTGAGCCCCCCATTGGGTGTAGAGATTACTAAAAAAAATAAACTTTTAAAACAATTTGGAAAAAAATAAATGTAAAGCAACCCCCACAGTGCCATGCAAGAGTACCAGTTACACTGAATGAGCAGCCAAATGAACTTTTTTGTATATTTATTGGGTGATTTTTAAAGCAGCTGCATTTAGCTGTGTAGTCCTCCTAATGTAGACCTAGACATTGTAGAGTTTAGGATCATGGACAGATGCTTACCCAAATCCCCAGTGTCAATCATTATGTTGCTTTTATTATTTTTTAAATTTATTTATTTTTTCCATTATGTTGCTTTTACTAAACTAAAGCATCCTAGAACTTTTCTACAAACAGCTGACTTTAGCTTAAAATTTTTGTCAACTGATTAATGAAATGTGTCTTTTGGAAAACATTAGTTATTGGTCCTGATAGGCCATTTGGGTAATGAGCTGTATAATCATCCTAGAATTACCTTTTAAAGGAAGTTTAAAAATATGCAGCTCTTGGGGTCCTACTCAGCATTATTGAGGATTTGAATCATGGGGGTGGGGGGTGGGCATGTGGGGCAAAGTGCTTGTGCAGCATTTCTGAGAATTGCTGGTCCACAGGCTCATTTCTGAGAATTACTGGTTTAGAATGCTGTTTGGCAGTCTAATATTTAGAATTTTGGAGATCTATCAGCTGCCTTTATTGTATGTTCCATTGATTGATTAATTGATTGATTTACTTTAGAGAGTGTGCATATGAGTGGGGGAAGGGACATACGGAGAGGGGGGGAAAGAGAGACTCCCAAGCCGACTCTGCGCTGAGTATGAGCCCGATGTGGCATTTGATCCCACAACCCTGAGATCATGACCTGAGCGGAAAGCAAGAGTTGGACGCTCAACCAGCTGATTCACCCAGGTGCCCCTGTATGTTTCTTTTAATAGAGAAGTTAAAACTACACATGGGCACTGACCCACTTGCAGATATTTGCAGCAGTATGTATTATTTTTACTTTACCCCAAAATTTCGTGTTCTGTTGCTCCTCAAATCTTGTTGTTATTCTTCAAGCATTGACTTCCTGTGTTTGCCAAACCCTGAGCTAGACCCTAAGGATGCCAAAGCTATTAAGTCAGTGTATATATGTCTCTTCAAAGTAGCTTATCAGGTAGCTGGGTGAATAGACAAAGAGATAATTATAAATACAGATTAACACAGCTGCTGATTATCCAAAGAATGGATCAGTTCTTTTATGAAGTTACTTTGGTGGTATACTTTTCCTTCATAAAGTGCATCTTTGAGAAGTGGAAATTTAATCCTATATTGGAAATACAAAGAATATGACTTTTAGCCTAGTCAGTGGATTTGTAAATCTTAAATAGATCTTCTAGTTCCCCATTTTTTATTCTAGCAGTAACTCTGGAAAAAGTGGATACTGTTGTTTACGCCACAAAACCCAACACTGCCCACTAAATAAATACTTCACCTGTCATTCTGGTGTTGGCTTAGAGAAATGATAAATTCAATTGGTGTTCTTTTATTTATGTAATGCTTACAAGGTATCTTCAAAGCTTTATTCATTACCAAATCCAAGTGTGCTGGTGTCCTTGAGACTGGATTTTCTGCGAATTGTCTGCAGCCATGAGCACTACGTTACATTGAACCTGCCCTGCAGCCTGCTTACTCCACCTGCATCACCATCGCCTTCTGTTTCTTCTGCAACATCTCAGGTATGCAAAGTGTCTGAAAAAAATTTTTTATAGAGCTCATTTTTGTAAGAAAGCATTCTGACCACTGGAATAAATGATAAGAAAGACTGTTGAATAATAGCTGTGTGATAGGCTCCATACTAAGTGCTTTATAAATAATTATTATTTGCTTCTTAGAGTAATGCTAGGAAGTAAGTTCTATTATTTTCATTTTACGTATGAAACAGAAAAGTCGTGAACTTACCCAGGGTAACACAGTAATAAGTGGCAGAGCTAGACTTTGACTCAAGGCACATGTTGACTTTATTCTAGAGCCCAAGGTCTTAACTACTATGTTGTACTCCTCTTACAGATTTATGCACATCCATGTGAGTGAATTCACTTAGATAAGCCCATTTCGATGTTTTCGCAAGTTGGGTTTTCTTGAAGCAGATGCAAGGTTGTCTTGAGTTTGGGATAGAAGATGTTTATTAGGGATCAGTACCTGTGAAAGGCAAAGAAGTGAAGCCTAATGTAGCAGAGAAAGAAGTCAAACTGCGGGGCAGTCCTGAGAAAGCCCTGCCTACTGCCCTTGTGCCTAGAAAATCCAAAGGAAACTAGGTGGTTGTTCATAGGGTTTTATTGGGTGGCAGCAGACTTCAACAGCTAGTAGTTTCTTTTGGGGTTGGGGGGGAGCAGAGGTTCCTTTTTTTAATGTAAATTCAATTAATTAACATATAGTGTGTTATTAGTTTCAGAGGTAGAGTTCAGTGATTCATCAGTTGCATAGAACACCCAGTGCTCATTCCATCACCCAGTTACCCCATCCCCCCACCACCTCCCCTCCTGCAACCCTCAGTTTCTTTCCTATGCTTAAGAGTCTCTTATGGTTTGTCTCCCTCTCTGATTTCATCTTGTTTTATTCTTCCCAGGTTTTTTGTTTTTTTTTTTTACTAACCAGAATCATGATGTATGTATTGTTCTTTGGTGTGCTTGTTGGAGATGTTTTCAGCCTAGCCTCGCTCCTTTTATCCATTCTGTATTCCACAGAAATAGTGTCACTGTTTGGGTTGCTTCATTCTACTGGTATAATTATGCCCACTTTTGTGCACAAACTTGAGCATAGGGGCTGGAATTTGAGAGGAAGAGTGCCAGTTTGAGCCCTTGGCAATCTGAGGTGAAGGCGTATTGACTTGGCATACCGTGCATGCTGACTCGGGCAGGAGGGTGGCTGGACTGGGAATTTGGGACCCACAGGTCGATGGCATCATGTATGACAGGGATGTGGCTGGTTTTGCTTTTAACTTTTGTTTTTCTGGTAAACTGTATCTCTCCTTCTATTTTAAATGAAAGCCTTGCTGGATAGAGTATTCTTGGCTATAGATTTTTTCCTTTTAGCAGCTGGAATTGTTCATGCCCTTCTCTTCTGGGCTACAGAGCTTCTGCTGAAAAACCCACTGATAGCCTTGTGGGATTTCCTTTGTATGTCACTGCTTTCCTTTCTCTTTCTTGCCACTTTTATTTTATTTATTTTTTTATTTTTTAAGAATTATTTATTTGACGGAGAGAGACACAGCGAGAGAGGGATCACAAGCAGGGGGAGTGGGAGAGGGAGAAGCAGGCTCCCCGCCGAGCCGGGAGCCCGATGCGGGTCTCGATCCCAGGACCCCGGGATCATGACCTGAGCCGAAGGCAGACGCTTAACGACTGAGCCACCCAGGCGCTGTCTCTTGCCACTTTTAAAATTCTCTCTTTATCACTACTTTTGGCCATCTTATTTACTTTGCATCTTTGTGCAGACCTCTTTGGGTTGACTTTGTTGGGGACCCTCTGTGCCTCCTGGATCTGGATTTCTCTGTCCTTCCCCAGATTCAGGAAGTTTTTTAGCTATTATTTCTTCAGACAAATCTCCTGCCCCCTTTTCTTGTTCTTCTCCTTCTGGGATCCCTATCATGCGACTGTTAAGCTTGACAGTGTCGCTGAGTTCCCCGGGTCTATTCTCATTTTGCGTATTTTTTTTCCCCTCTCATCTGCTCAGCTTGATCACTTTCCATTACTCTGTCCTCCAGGTGGCTGATCCGTTCTTCTACTTCCTCTCATTTGCTGTTTATTCCAGGTAGTCTATTTTTATTTCCATTTAGTGAGTCCAATAGCTCTAATTGGTTCTTTTTTACGTCTCCTATCTCTTGGTGGGAGGGTCTCATGGAGGTTCTGCACTCTTTTCTCAAGTCCAGTGAGTATCGTTATGAACATGACTTTGAATTCTCTATCAGACATATTACTTATCTCCATTTCGCTTAGGTTTCCTGCTCGCTCTGATTCTGTTCCACTCTTTCATTTGGGACATATTCCTCTGTCTCCTCATTCTGTCTATTGCTGTGTCTGTTTCTCTGTGTTAGGAAAGTCAGCTACGACTCTCACACTTGAAAGTAGTGGCTTTATGAAGAAAAGGTCCTGCAGCGCAATGTCTTCTTTTCACCAGAAAATGGTGCTTTGGGGGGTGTCTCCTATGTGTGTTGCTGCAGGAGCGTCCTACCATTGTGGCTGGGATGTGTTTGCCTTCAGTCCAGCCTCCGATGGCGCTCTGCCTGTTGTGGGCAGAGTCTGGTCTCCGTGGTGTTAGTGGGCCGGTCCGGGGCTGCCTTGGGCTTGAGTTGAGTCAGAGCAGGTGTTTGCCACAGGTGAAGTAGCACCAGACTGTAGGCACTTTCCCTGTGTTGTCCCCTGAGAAGCTTTTGTTGGTGGGTGGGGCCTGCAGTCTGACCAGGTGCCTGCCCCCAGCCACTGCTGGGGTCACAGTCAGACTGGTGTGTGGTTATCGTCCCCTCTCCCTGGAGCAGGACTCACTTTGGAGTGGTGCTGGCCCTTGTCTGGGCTGCATGCGCACCGCCAGGCCTATGGCACCGCTTTGATGGGATCTTGCCAAGAGCGATCGGAGGGGGTGGATCTGCTTCGCTGTGGCCTCTTGTCTGTGCTGGGCTGCAGAGAGTCTGTTCTGCCAGTTTTCGGGCTGCTTTCTGTGTTATTTATGCTGATGTGGGTGCTCTCTAGGCGGCCATGCGGCAAGAGGTGAGCCCAGGGACGTCCTACTCTGCCATCTTCCCAGCAGCCTCTGAACAGCTAGTAGTTTCTGTCAGGACAGAAAGGGGTTACATAGCAATTATTTTGTTTCCTATCATACAGATGGAGATAAAGGGATTTTCTGGTTTTAGTATCAGAGAAGCCTGGTTCTTCCCTCTAGTGAAACATTCTTTCCGCTCTGTAATTTCTGAGGCAGACAAGCTGCTTTCTTAAGCTTTCTTAATCTCTTAATGTTTAAAGTTATCTTAACTTTTTGTGATGTTATTTTTGAGTTATTTAATTCCTGGATGTAATTCCCTAGCCTACATCAATCTCAGATGCATGATAAAAAAAAAGTTTTTAAACTTTACCTTGATGAGAAAACATGAGAGAGCACCCATAACTTTTCATTTTACCTTTACGAAAAATCTTATGGATTGGCATATTTTCATGTACTCTTTTACCTGGCTAGCATACGCTTCTTCCTATAACAGATAAGGCTGTGTCTTTTGCTTTCTTCACACATCCTCTGCCAAAGATGTGGCTATCCAGTGGAGAGCAAATTAATCATAATATAGTTCCTAAAACCTTTAATGAAACACATTTGTTTACATCTAACTCCCTCTGAACATCTCATTCAGCCAAGAAGTTAATAGAATTCTTTCCATTCTCTTGCTCCCCTTGTTTTTTATCTAGCTACATTAATTTCATTCTAATAGATGATAGAGACCTCACTCTTTCTGGGGGGAGGGTGCAAGAATAATCTTATATACTTATTAGGAAGATGATTTCTCTGTAGAGAAATCTGAAATCTGTTCTAAAAAACCTCACATGGATGGTCTTGAATATGAATTAGAGGGGGATGAGATTGTAGACACTCTTGAACTATATCTTGGGGAAATGCTATTTTGCAGTATTAAAAAAACTATGAGTGAATCACAAAATGATAGTAATTTTCTAGAGGTAGTATTTTCTCTGAAAAACAATTTTACTGGTATTTGGACTTTCTCTGGAGACCAGTAGCTTTGACTATAAATATGTCTTTTGTACCCAGCAGTAAATGTGTAATATATCATTTGGGTTTAGTTGCTTTTTTTCTCCTTTAGGGTATGATATTGAAACATTACGTGGCTAAAAGAATAAAGAAAAAAAAAAGATGGAAAAGTTTCAATCTGAGAAAAAGGAAATAGAAAATAATTAAAAGTGTTATTTCATCATAGTTTCCTATACCAAAAGTAAGAGCAGTTACTTTCTCCAATGTGAATAATAGTAATGTAAAATAAACTACCCTAGGTGAAGTGCATCTTACTTTGAGATAATGCTCATACTGCATTTGTTGTAATGTTCTGTCTGTAGGATGTTTTGTTGCACAGCTATTGTAGTTTTGTTCTATCTCACTCCCAAACAGAGTTCTGGATTTTCCACAAACGTACAAGACCAGAAGATTGCAAATATGTTTGAATTATCTGTGCCTTTCCGCCAACAGCATTATTTGGCAGGACTTGTGTTAACAGAGCTGGCTGTCATTTTAGACCCTGATGCTGAAGGGTGAGTAGACTTATTTTGCCTTGGGAATAGCAATTTGATTTTGGATAATGGGACAGAAGTATCGCACTTATATTCCTAAGAATCAAAAGAGTACTCTTTACTACTCTTCATACTTCTGTATGAAGAATACTTCTGTATTCACTAAGTTCCATACCCATGTTATCTGCATTTCACTGATTTTAAGAAAGCCATTTTTTCATACTTCATCATCTCTGAACTTGAGGTTTGTTTTGAAATCAGTGGTGTATCATGGTTTATTTGATAGCATTTGTTTTTCCTTCATTGTTACAAAAAATATTTGTGAATATAAGTAGGTAGACTCCTAGATTTGTTGATACACAGTAGGTACATTTCAGTTGAGGAAAATGGACTAGTTTTCTATTCCTTGTAAGGAAAATTTATTGTTTGCCATTATACTGTGTAGCATTTTATTTCAAAATATGCCCTATAAACAAATATTCTTAGGTTTTAAGAACTTCCAAAGTTGTATACACTTGTACAGGATGTTTAGAAATTGATATAGTAAGGAAAGGGCATATTCTCTGATGATTTGAATTTATAGAAATAGCTTTAGTGTTGTGGGCTAGCATCCCTAGAGAGTACTTCTGTCTTAATAATTGTTTTAAAAAATCCGTGTAATCATAATTCCTTTAGGTAATGGTCACTTTTAAAAAAATCCTCATAATAGGATCTTTAGGAGTTTTTTAAAGTTTTTATTTAAATTCCATTTAGTTAACATGCAGTATAATATTAGTCTCAGGTGTACAATATAGTGATGCAGCACTTCATACAATACCCGGTGCTCATCACTGCAAGTGCACTCCTTAACCCCCATCACCTATTTCACCCATCCCCCCGCCCCCCTCCCCTCTGGTCACCAGCAGTTAGTTCTCCATAGTTAAGAGTCTGGGTTTTTTTGCTTATCTCTTTTTTTCTTTGTTTTGTTTCATAAATTCCACATAAGTCATAGGGTATTTGTCTTTTTCTGACTGACTTATTTTGCTTAGCTTTATACCCTCTGGATCCATCCATGCTATTGCAAATGGCAAGATTTCATTCTTTTTTATTGCTAATATTCCTGTGTGTGTGTGTGTGTGTGTGTGTGTACAGCATCTTCTTTATTCATCTGTTGATGGACACTTGGGTTGCTTTCATATTTTGGCTATTATAAATAATGCTACAATAAACATAAGGGTGCATATAACTTTTTGAATTAGTGTTTTTGTATTTTTGGGTAAAATCCAGACTTTTAAGATTTATTTATTAGAGAGAAAGTGCACATGTGTGCGCAGGAGGTGGGGGCAGAGGGGAAGGGCGGGAAAGAGGAAAAGAATCCCAAGCAGACTGTGCTCAGCATAGAGCCCAACGTGGGGCTCGATCTCATGGCTCCAAGACCATGACCTGAGCCAAAACCAAGAGTAGGATGCTTAACCGACTGAGCCACCCAGGTGCCCCTAAAATCTAGACTTTTAATAATGGTCCTCAAAGCCCTATTTAGCTGGCTCTTAGGTACTTTTGCCACTGTCTTCCCTCCCCACATATTAAAATCTAGCCATCCCAGTCTTTTTTTTCTGCTTCTTTAATATGCCAAATTCATTCCTACCTTATGTATGGTATTTGCACTTGGGTTTTTTTTTCTCTGCCTAACAGTGCTCATGTTACCCTAAGACTGTCATGTACCTTTTTGCTCCTTGTGATTCTTCAGGTCTCCACTCAAATAGCATCTTCTCAGCGAGGCTTTCATTGGCCACCCAGTCAAAATGATAGCCACGCTGCCCTGCCACAATCATTCTTAAACATATACTTTTTCTTTTATTTTCCACAAAGCATTTCTCTGAAATTTGCTGCTTAATTTCTGTCTCCTCCCATTAAAACGTGATTTCATGAGAGCACACACTTTTATCTTTTTTATTTGCTGTTGTACTTCCAATGCCTTAGAATTGTGTCTGGCACAAGGTGGATGAATACACATTCATAAATAGATGTTAATTCAGTAATATATGAGTAATTGACTTTGGGAGACTCACATCTCATCTCTAAATTTTATATTCTTTAGTGATATACAGATAAAATACAACATACATTGTCTTAGATAGGTACTTGAGAGGAATGCTTTTCTTTTTACTTCATCTGCTTGCTAATAATAATTCCTTGAGTGGCAATAATATGTTTTAATATTGATCAAAGATTTGCTCTTCAGAAACTTTGATTATAGTTAGAAAATTAAGACTATGAAACAATATGATTAAATGCTAATTTTGTAGCACATAATTCTATAGAAAATTAGTACCTCTACTGCATTTGTGACACTGAATTATTATTTTTGAGTCTGTGTTTCTTTCTTACAATAGCAAACTCTTTAAGAACAGGCACAGTGTCTTATCCCTAATACTTAAAATAGGATATTGCACGTCCTGCATAAACATATATTTAATAACATGTGATTGAGTAATGTAGACCTGTGAAAAGGCTTATAAAGATGATTGGGTAGGGCTTATTGGTAGGTTAAGGTCGGGCTGGTAGCTACACAGCTGAGGAATACACACCCGGGTTTGGGAGTCATCATTGGTAATGCAAAAATTCAGAAGGGAGAACATAAAAACCAAATGACCAGAATCTGAGACTTGGGTGAAATGAGAGAGAGAATATGAGGAAAGGGTGGGAACTATTTGGAGAAAAAATTGAGAAAAGGTAAGATGACAGCGTCGAGTAGAGAACTGGAGAATAAAATCTGAGATATGTCAGTTAGATGTGGTTCTTGATAGTGTTTAAAAATACACTTTCTGAATAAAAATCTCAAAGGAAGAAGAAAGAATCTCCAGCTAGATTGCATATATAGCAATGTAAAGCGGCAGATAAGATGAAGGGCTCTGGTTTCCAATCCCAGCTTTGAAATTGGCTATGTGATCTTAAAAAAAATAAGAGCTAGTATTTACTGAGGAAGGCAGTGTACAAGGCAGTGTGCTAATAAGTATGTTACATAAATTATGCAACTTAATTCTCACAGCCACCTTATGAGGTAGGTAATTACCCTCTTACTGTAGGTAGGGAAACCGAGAAGGTAAGTAACTCTAAGAAATTATTTAGTTATTAAATAATGAAGCTAGTACAGTGCCATGTTGTAAGCATTCAAAAACTGTTAGTTCCAAAGAAAGGGAGTAGATACTAGGAAGTAAGTGGAAACAGTTGCTATGGACTATACATTTAGGAAGTTTATTACTGGAGAAATTATGGTAATAGTTTATTACTCGGAGAGAGTCTATAACATAGAAGAGACTAGTTTCAAGTGAACATGTATTTTCAATATAGGAAAGGCTTATTTGAAAGAAAAGGGAAAATTTTAGTGAGGGGGGCATTGAAGCTGTTGAAGATGTGTGGGGTTCATTAAACATAATAGAGAAATTACTTTTTGAGAGAAGTACAACTTTTTCTGAGACAAAAGGAATGAGAGAGAGATAAATGTGGGGATGTGTTAAAGATCTGGCTAGAGCAAATTCAGAATGGCTTTTCTTTCCTAAAAATCAGAAGTCGGAGGTAAAATCTTTTTCTGAGGTGGATGGTGAGAGGCTGAAGGGGCGAATGAGGTGTGGAATTGCTGCCAGGTGTAGCCCTAAGGGCCTGTTGACATTGGCCGAGTGTTTAATTAGAATAGTTGGCAGAGTCAAAGCACCTTCAATCCGAGAAGAGGCAAAAAAAGAAAAGTGATTAGTGTTTTAGCCCAGTTGAAACTCAGGGGATTGAGCCTACAGAAGGTGTATGGCCCAAACAAGGTAGATGAGCAAGGAAGTTGAGTTTAAATCCGAGAAGTCAAAGACAACCCCCCCAGCCTATGGACTGCATAATCCATCAAGTAGAGGATTTTTCTTTTAGAAAAAGGACATAAAGGTTTATTTTTGGCAAATGTGAGAAGATCTAATATGAAATAAAATTTGAAGCTACTTAAGATTTTTTTTTTTGCTTTAAAATATAACCACAACTGGTCTTAAGTTATTTAATATGAATATGTACTAATAAGGAGTTAATATAAAAATAATTGAGATTTACTTCTAGGTGAATTTGTTTAGCATTTCTTTTTCCCCTCCATCTTTACTTTATACAGAGAGACATTTGTTATTTCATAATGAGAAGCGTTTCATAGGAATACATGCAAATATGTGGCAAAGTTTAAGTTAAACAAAATTGATTCAGTACTGTGACTTACTGTTTGCTTTAAAGATATTACTAATCTCTGTGACCTTAGTGCTGCTGCTGCTTCTTCATCTTCTTTTTAAATAGACTGTTTGGATTGCACAAGAAAGTCATCAATATGGTACACAATTTACTATCCAGTCACGACTCAGACCCACGGTACTCTGACCCCCAGACAAAGGCGAGGGTGGCCATGTTGTATCTACCTCTGATTGGCATTATCATGGAAACTGTTCCTCAGCTCTATGACTTTACAGGTACTTCGTATATTTAAAACATCTTAAAGGAAATCTCAGTGTTGCAAAGTATTAGAAATATTTCGAGGCTAAAGATCTTATTTTAGGAAAAGAAATACAAGGAAATGTACACTGGCATAAATAAACTGTAAATATTTAACCATATTACTGAATGACTTTTGACTACATCAGAGAATTCACTGCAAGCTTTCCTCAAGTAGTTCTTACGATGAATTTTAAAATAATGATTTATAGCACTTCTGTACCTGCCTATTAGAAAATAGGTTTTTTGGTATGAGACTGTACTGTTCATCTGAAAAAAATGTATATAAGAAAACACGGCAGATGTCTCCCACCTTCAGTCTCATTTATATTCATATATATATAATTGAAATTAATATTCACCTGAATAACAAAAATTAGGTTTATTGTTAACACTGGGCTAATAAGTTGAAGTTATGTTGCTTTTTAAAAACTAGAACTCACAAAGTTTTATTGCTCTTGCTTTCCATATTTAGAATTTCTTGAATTCCTTCATTTGTCCTAAAGAAAACCCTATAGTTTACATTTAAGAAAACAAAAACGGGGCGCCTGGGTGGCTCAGTCGTTAAGCATCTGCCTTTGGCTCAGGTCATGATCCCGGGGTCCTGGGATCGAGCCCCGCATCGGGCTCCCTGCTCTGCGGGAAACCTGCTTCTCCCTCTCCCATTCCCCCTGCTTATGTTCCCTCTCTTGCTGTGTCTCTCTATGTCAAATAAATAAACAAAATCTTTAAAAAAAAAAAACATTTACTGAGTACCTATTACATATTAAGAACCTGAACAGAGCTGGTGATACAAAGATAACTAACTCTGTGTCTTTAAGGGACTGGTAGTTGAGTAGTTCAACCAGTATTTTGATGGCCAAAGTGGGCTTCCTAATCTGAAGGCAGAAATGTTTATATTATTATATCTTCTTTGACTAGCAACTTCTCTACAAAACTACAAATTGTTACTGTAGGAATGAGTTAATGTTTAAAATACTGTTTAAAATAAGAAAATCTAATGGTAAATATTACATCTTAACAGGTTTTTCTTTTAAAGAGTAATGGAGAGTAGGAAATTGCATGCTCAATAACTGTTAATTAACCTAAATGGAATTTTGGTTATTTATTTTGGGATTATTTGTTTTTCCAGAAACTCACAATCAACGAGGAAGACCAATCTGTATAGCCCCTGATGACTATGAAAGTGAGAGCGGAAGCATGATAAGCCAGACCGTTGCCATGGCAATTGCAGGAACATCAGTTCCTCAGCTAACAAGGCCTGGCAGCTTCCTCCTTACATCATCGGTAAGAACAACCCTCCTGCAGAAGTTTTTTCTAGAAAGACAGATATTTACAAGGATGTACCCTTAAATAACAGATTGTTGTATTAGCTGATGCAAGAGTACTCTTGAGTTTCATTTACTTTGTGGAAATATTAAGGTTCTGAGAATATTGCTTATCTTGTACTGAGTTGTTTTAAAAATTATTAATACCTCAAGGTTTATGGTTGCTCTGTATTCCACCATTCAGAATTTTGGAAGTTACCTTATTGTATATGGCCTATTTTCTTTATTTTCAAAATACATTTTGTTCTTCAACCCTAAGAAATATTTTCAGTTGTTTAGCAATTGAGAATATTTTTTTTAATCTCTGAAGATTTATACTGTTTCATGTTTAATAAAATTGATAGGTACTCTGCCCCTGTAATTTTTGCCCCTTTAAAGAGGGAAGGATATGGGAGCAGAGAGGAAACAAACTTCCAGTAGGGCAAGATCAAGTTCTAAAAGACTTTCTTTCAGAAAAATGCAATAGTACTTGTGGAAGCTGTCCTGACAACTTCAAGTTTTATTGAGATAGTTTACATATCAAAACATTCACCCATTTTAAGTGTACAGTGTCATGGTTTTTAATGTATTTACAGAGCTGTATGGCCACCACCCCAGTCTAAGTTTAGAGTATTTCCATCATCCCAAGAAGAATGCTTAGGCCTATTAAGAGCCACTCCCTATTTCCCCCCATCCCTAGGCAGCAACTGACCTACTTTCACTGTGTATCTATATAGATTTGCCTATTCTGGACATTTCATATAAATGGAATTATACACTGTGATCTTTTGTGTCTGGCTTCTTTGACTACACGTAAAGTTTTTGAGTTTCAGCCATGTTGTAATGTGCATCAGCACATCTTTTTTTTTTTTTCTTAATTGCCAAGTAATACTCTTGCCAGATTTTTATCCGTTTGTCAGGCTATGAACCTTTGGATCCTTTCCAGTTTTGGGGCTGTTAAGAATAATGCTGCTATCAACATTTGTGTGCACATATGTTTTTATTTCTCTTAAGTAGATATCTAAAAGTGAATTTGCTGGGTCATATGGTATCTCTGTGTGTAACATTTTCAGACACTTCTAAATTCTTTTAAAAGTGGCTTCCCCATTTTACATTCAGCAATAAATGAAAATTCCTGTTTCTCAAATCCTCTCAAATCCTCACCAACACTTGTTACTATCTCTTTTTTTATTGTAACCACCTTGGTATAGAGTAGTATCTCATTGTGGTTTTGATTTGCATTTCCCTAATGTCTACTAATGTTGAGCATCTGTTCATTTGTTTACTGACACATCTTTTTTGTGTGTCTTATTTAGAGAAAAGTTCATCCATCTTCCTTGCCATTTTAGTATTGTGTTACTCATTTTCTTGTTACCAGGTTGAAAGAGTTCTTCATATATTCTGAGTACAAATCCCTTATTAGATAGGTGATTTGCAAGTATCTTCTCCCATTCTGTGTATTATCTTTTTGCTTTCTTGATGGTGTCTTTTGAAGTGCACAAGTTTTTAATTTTGCTGAATTCCAATTTATCAATTTTCTTTTATCACTTGTACTTTATATATTTTATATGTATAATATCAAAAGTACATGCACAATTAAGGTATCATAATAGAAGAAACAATAGTGTACCCACCACCCAGCTTCAGAAATAGAACATTGCAAATTCCTTGAAAGTTCCCAGTCTGCCCTCAGTTCAGTCCCTGTCTCCGCCCAAAATGACCACTGTGGTCAATTTTGTTGACCTTCCTTTTCATTTTTTAAAACTTCTCTTATGTGAAATATACTACATATTAAAAAGTACATGAAACATAAATGTACAAATTTATAAAATATTGTAAAATGAACACCTTTGTAACCACCACTCAGGACAAAATATAGACTGTTGGCTGCCTTTCAGAAATCTCTAGCATGCTCTTACCCACCACAGCTATCCACCAAGCTGCCCTCTATCCTGACTAATGAAGTAATTGCTTAATTTTGCTTATAGTTTTATCATTCAACTTTGCACCCCTAAACATTGTAATTTAGTTTTGTTATATTTTTAATTTTCATCCATGTTATAAAATGTAGCTATAATTTACTGATTTTCATTTCTGTATGTCTTTAAATTGTCTGTCTATAGATTAATTTATTTACCTCTTCTTGTCTTAGATGCATAAATGGCTTCTGGTCTTTGGTTATTTCAAATAGTAATCCTATAGATTTCTTTACATGTATGGTGTGTGTGTATGTGTGTGTGTATATACACTTTTATTTAGGTTATTTCCTAGGAGTAGAATTTGCTGGGTTATAGAATATGTATGTATCTTTATACCAGATATACCTGGGTATTTTTCCAAAGGGTTTGTCTCAATTGAGACATATGAGAGTTTCCATTCTTTCACATGTTCATCAGCATTTAGATCTTTCAGACTTGAAAATTTTTGTCAATCTGGTAATTTATAGTTGTATCTCATTTCAGTTTTCGTTTTCCTGATGCCTTATGAGGGTATGCACTTCTTCATATACATGTTGGCCATTTGAATTTTCTCTTTTGAGGTTCTAGAGTTTTTCCCATTTGCCATTTGGTTGTCTGCCTTTCATGATTGTATATTAATGGATTTTGTGGGCTGTAATTTAAGATTTGTGTATTTATGCTTGTAGGTAAAATTGTTTGTAATATTTTTCTCATAATGTTCTTTACAGGTTTTGGAATCAGGGTTAGGTCAGCCAATTTAAATTTAAAAGGGAGTTTACCCTTTTATTCTGTTCTCCGTGAGGACTTGTTTAAAATTGGAGTTATTTCTTCCTGGAATATTTGGAGAACCTGTGGGTGATGCCATCTGTACTTGTAGTTTTCTTTTTTGAAAGTTTAAAAATTACTGATTTAATTTCTTTAATGACTGTAAGACTGTTCGAGTTTTCTATTTCCTTTTACACTGATTTTTGTAAATTTTACTCTAGTAGAAATTAAAATTTATTGGCATACGAAGTTCAGGTATCTTCTGTAATCTTTTTAAAGTCTGTGCCATCTGTAGTAGAGATAAGTGGTTTCATTTCTGTGACTGGCTTTTAGTACCCTTTGTCTTACATCAGTCTCAACAGAAATTTGTGTATATCTTTAGTCTTCAAAAAACCAGTTTGGGGGCATGTTGATCCTCACTTTTGAATGTTTATCTTCTTTATTTACTGTCTTCTATTTTCTTCGGATTTATATTGTTCTTTTTCTAACGTCTTGAGATGGCTGCTTAACTCACTAATTTTTATCATTTCTTCTTTGGTACATATTATAAGCCTGTACATTTTCCTTTAATCATTGTTTTAGTTACATGCCACAGTTTATATGTAGCATTTTTATTATTCAGTTCAAAAACATATCTAAATTGCATTATGATTTTTTCTGGAATTTTAGGCTGTAAGTTAAGTTTTTGTTTTAAAATATCTAGTCAGACATGAACAGACATTTCTCCAAAGAAGACCTACAAACGGCCAACAGACACATGAAAAAATGCTCAACATCACTCGGCATCAGAGAAATACAAATCAAAACCACAATAAGATAGCACCTCACACTGGTCAGAATGGCTAAAATTAACAAGTTAGGAAACAAATTGATGTTGGTGAGGATGCAGAGAAAGGGGAACCCTCTTACACTGTTGGTGGTAATGCAAGCTGGTGCAGCCACTCTGGAAAACATGGAGGTTCCTAAAAAAGTTAAAAATAGAGCTACCTACGACCCACCAATTGCACTACTAGGTATTTATCCAGAGGATACAAACATAGTGATTTGAAAGGGCCCATGCACCCCAATGTTTATAGCAGCAGTGTCCACAATAGCCAAACTATGGAAAGAGCCCAGATGTCTGTCGACAGATGAATGGATAAAGAAGTTGTGTACACACACACACACACACACACACACACACACACACAGGAATATTACTCAATCATCAAAAAGAATGAAATCTTGCCATTTGCAATGAATGGATGGAACTAGAGAGTTTTATGCTAAGCAAAATGAGTCAGAGAAAAACAAATACATGATTTCAGTCTTGTGGAATTTAAGAAACAAAAACAGATGAACATAGGGGAAGGGAGGGGAAAAATAAAATAAGATGAAAACGGAGAGGGAGAAAAACCATAAGAAACTCTTAACAATAGGAAAAAACTGAGGGTTACTGGAGGGGAGGTAGGTGGGAGGATGGGGTAATTAGGTGATGTCCATTAAGGAGGACACTTGATAAAATGAGCACTGGGTGTTGTATGCAACTGATGAATCACTAAATTCTACCCCTGAAACTAATAATGCAGTATATGTTAACTAAATTGAATTTAAATAAAAAATTTTT